AGAGGGCAGTGTCACTGGCCCTCATATGTGGGATCCGAACCGGGGCCCTCTGGCATCCCAAGCGAGTTCTTAACCATCGCGCCACTCGGCCGGCCCTATCTTTTATTTTCTTAAGCATTGTCAGCCTATTTATTTTGTGCTCTGAGTTTGATCATTTGAATTTCCAAAATTTTTGTGGGTTTGATTCTGTTTTTTCTTATTTCCTCGGGTTCTCCCTCAAGGAGTCTAGTTTCTTTGTATGTCAGCTTATATTTGACTATGTGCTCTACAAAGTGTTTGAAAAATTACTTACAGGAATAAGTTAGGGCCTACAATGAAGGCACTTTCCTCTTTAAGTGATACGCATTTGCTGGGCCAGATACCCTGGAGAACTATCAGTTTGGGATCACCTTCAGCCAAATTCAAGGCTCGAGATTGCCTGAACTGCCCATGGGATCCTAGTGGGACTGTGCTTCTGCACTAGGGATGTTCTAGTTCAAGTTCATCCCTCCCTTGCCTGTGGAGCTCTGTGGAGTCCTGGATGGTTGTGGGGAGGGGCTTGTGCTAGATTTCCTGTCCAGGACCGGGCTTTGGTTTTTGTCCTTGCTCCCTGGCAAGACTATGAGCTAAAATTTTCCATTTTATAGAATCAGTAAAGCCTTGAGGGCAAAAAAGACTTTCATGCTTGCTTGCTTCTCTAGGTTCTGTTTTCCCCTTCATTTTTGGTCTGGTAATTCCTTACCTTCTTAGGTATTCTTAAGAAAATGTTTTAATAACATGTCTATTTTTATTTAGCTGTGCTCAGTGGGAACATTGGAATCACCTAGGCCAGTGGCTCTCAAAGTGTGATCTGGGACTCCATTTCATGGGGTCTGTGAGGCAGGGCCGAGACTTGTATGAGGCAAGCAAGCTGCCTGGGTGCAAAAAAGGTGTGCACTTGCACCAGATGTGAGTACTGCTTTAAATTCAGTGCCCTAGGCACCTTGCTGGCCTCACCCTTAGTTCTGGCTGGTCTCGCAAGATTAAAAAGATCCTCATAAGATAAAAGATTTTTTCTTTTCACTTTCGTTTTCTCAAATGTACAATGAAGTTTTCCAGAGACAACATGATTTCAAAATAGATTGAATGCAGTTTCAGATATGCCAATCTTGCTGTCCTCTGTTAAGCCAGACGTTAAAGAAATTTGCAAAAATGTAAAAACAGTCCCACTCTCTTTCCATAAAATTTTTGTCTTGGTAAATACAGTTTTTTTTAAAAAATTAAACATGTTATGTTAATGTATAGTAAGTTTGTTATTATTTTTGATAGAATACTTCAAATTTTCTGTTTTAATTTTTAACACAATAAATATTGATGGCTTTAACCCACATAAACAAAAGCTCTTTGGGACCCTTAATAATTTTTAAGATTATAAAAGGGATCCTGAGATTTAAAAGCTTGAAAACTGCTGATAGAGCCAAATATTACTTAACACTTTGGGACTGCTGCTGTGATCCAGAGAAGAGATTAATAAAAGGATTGCTGAGTAGACATGCGCTCCCATCTGAGATCAGGTAGAACAAGTTTGTGGTGGTTAGTGGGAACAATCGAGAACTTAATTATTTCATCCAGAAAAGCTTAACTACCCACTGATGAAAGTAGAAAAAAGAAGAGAGGGCCGGCCGAGTGGCGCGATGGTTAAGAACTCGCTTGGGACACCAGAGGGCCCCGGTCGGATCCCACATATGAGGGCCAGTGACACTGCCCTCCACAGCTAAGATGCTGAACAACAGCTCAACCTGGAGCTGGGCTGCCACGAGTCGCCGGCGACGGCGTGGGCTGCAGTCCCTGTGGCAGTGGATTGCCATGGGCTACCGTGTGTGGCCAGCAGCCAGCGTGAGCGGCCAGCAGCCGCAATGAGCGGCCGTCCAGAAGCCGGCGACTGATCTGCCTCGCCCGGGAAGAGCGCAATGATGGTGCCAACTTGGGCCAGTGAAGCAACATCCTCCACAACTAGATTGAAGAACAAAAAACGACAACAACTTGTCTGTTCCCCTTTCCCCAATTCCCCAGCACTGTTCCCATCCCCCTAACTCCCCAATAAAAATCTTTAAAAAAAAAAAAAAAGAAAAAAAAGAAAAAAGAAGAGAGGAGGATTACTCAAAATTATAGAATGGCGAGGTAGGAATAGCAGAAAGCAGGTAGGAATAGCAGAAAGCGAAGGAAGTTAAGTGAGTCTAGGGTATTAGTAAAGATACATTTGTTCTAAGGGGTGTTAAGAGGGCAGGAGAATACCAACAAGATCTGATAGGTGTAATAAATAATACAATAGAGGGAAGAAGGAATTTTAATTGAGTTATGTAAATAAACAGCAATTCAGCAGGAAGGTGGTACTATGAGAATTCAGGAGATACGTGGAATGGTCTGATATAAAAGTCAACCTCAGCTGTTAAAAGTTTAGCCCCCTTCTTACCTTTGGCCCTGAAAGAAAGACTAACTCTAGGAGTTTTTAGACTTGGGTTCAGTTTCAAGCTTGCTGCTTACTGTAAAGGTTCAAGTCACTTAACTTTTATAAGCCTCAATATTCTCAATTGTAAAATGAGAATGATAATGACATTGACTGTTTCATAAGAGTCCTGGGGACCAAATGAAATAGCATGTTAAATTATTTGTGAACGCTAAAGCATTGTGCAAATATGTGGTGAAAGAACTACACACTTGTCATTTTCATAAGCCTTTCCTTTTTCAATTTCAGGCAGAACTCAAAAGCTTGATGGACAATGCTTCGTCTTCCTTTGAATTTGCTAAAGAACTCATCAGACACAACCTGGTGAATAACAGTTTCCCATCTTGACTGACTTGAGTCCTGCCCTATTTGGTACATCTCAGCACTTAGAAAGAGGACTGAAGGGAAACATCTCAGCAAGCATTACTCTACGGGAACTTCTCTTTGCTGCTGAGTGAAAACGAGTTTAAAATATCAGGTCCTTTCATCAAGGAAGTCCTTAGTAGGAGGACATGATACATAGGGGAGGAAAAGTAATTTTCCTTCAACCTTTCTAAATTCTTCTGTCTGGTCTAATAATCAAATTGACATGAGACAGATGAAAAGCGAAAATAACCAAATTGATTACATGTGTACATACAAGGGCTTCATAAGAATATAGGTACTGAGGACAAGTCCGGCAGTGGAGGCTTGGAAGCCATCTTGACCTAAGGAGAAAGGGGAATGAACAGTGGTTTGGATTTCAAAGGGGAGGTGAGCGATTCACAGGCAGGTGAGAAGGAGCAAACATTTGGTAGCCAAATTCTTGCAGGGCCACCCAGAAACAGTGGGACACAGACGGGAGTCTTCCAAACCAAGTGCTGTGTTCCTTGCTGTCTGCTGCACTTAGGTCGCATGAAAATACAGTTATCTGTGATGATAGCTACCTTCCTTCCCGGAGCAGGGTTTTCTATTTAAATTCCATTAGACAGGTAAGAGGGAAGTAAAAGGCTCCTCAAGAGTCTTTTGTTTCTTAAAAGCAACTGGCTTAAAATAACCAATATCCCAAAAAAAGGCATGTTTGGGGGTGGTAAACTCTGCTTCCCTTCACACAGGTAAAAACATTTAGAAAGAAGTGCAAAGCAGTGCAGAGTCAAGTGTTGGGTTTGTTGGCGAAGACAAAGGAGCCTATCTTTTTGGGTTAGAAAAAATGGGAAGCATTTTCGGGTAAAAGCAAAAGTTGAGCTTGGCTGAGATTTAGAACTAGGATGTGAATGTAGACACGTGAATGGCTGTGAGCGGATTGAGCTTACTAGACAGACAGCTTGGACTGGACATAGTGTAAAGCTGTACTCAGTGAAAAAGTAAAGGGGTCGTGAGGTTTAGGGCTGGGTTCTGATGGCCTACGCTAAAAAACCCAGGCTCAGATTAAGTGTGATTCTGTTGACCATGCAATATGCTAGGTGCAGAGCAGCTTTCAACTCGGACACCTGGCAATGGGGTTGCGGGTGGCAAATTAGGTCATTCTGCTGAGTTTCATATTCCTCATCCAAAAAGGGCAATAATAATACTAGACTCTGTCCTTCCTGATTTCTCTGTTGCTTTCTTGAGCACCAATTCTCCCAGTATGCATGTTAAAAACCATCGTTGTTTTAGGCCCTCTCCCCTGCCTTTATTTCTGATATCTGCTCACTCACTCAATCGTACTAATCTTTTCTTGGCAATGCCTTATATTTATTCTATTCCTTCTCTAATTCGGGCCTCCTTCACGGATATGGTTTTCTTTGGTAGTTTCTGTCACGAGCTTCTGCCTCTAATCTTTTGATTTCTCATCCAGTTTATAAATGAAAGCCAGATGAGTTTTTGTGGAGCCCATGTTAGAGATAGTAGTCTGGATATTCAGCTTGGAGAGAGATCAAGACTGGAGAATAGGTTTAGGGGTTTTCATAAGAGAAGCGATTGCCAAAGTCCTGACAACTAAATACAGAGGAAAGAATTAAACCCAGGGAAAAGATACGGTTCCAAGAGAGCATCCGTATCTAAGGGGCTGGAAGAAGGTGTATAAGCAGATAACACAAGAAAAGGCAGGCAAGAAAGAGCACCTAGGTAATGCAATGTCATTTACAACTTCACATTTTAATCACCCGGGACGTTTTTAAAAATAATGATGCTTGGGCTCCACCCCACCCCCCAAGAGCTTCTTATTTACCGGCTGGGTTGGGGCCCGGCTCTCAGTATGTTTCCTCATATCTTCCCAGGAGCATATAATATATAACCGGAGTAAAGAACCACTGTATGTATATATGACTGGAAAGAGCATATCAGCTAGTAAACAGGGATTATCTTTGGAGAGTGACATTAAAGAGAGAAGTGAGAATATGGACATTTTCCTTTTTGCTTTTGTAATACTGTATGTAAGGTGGTTTGTTGTTTTGTTGGGTTTTTGGGGGGTTTTTTTGTCAATGAACACCTATTTTAAAGTTTAAAACAAAAACCTGAAAAATATTGAGCAAGGTAAATAGTTGCTATGAGCATCAACTTTTGCAATTAGGCTTGAGGTAAAAAATCGAGCTATGTACTAGCTTTGTAACTCTGAGTAAGCCACTTAACCTTGCTGAGTCTGTGTTCTCATAATTAGAATGGGGGGAATTACAGTACCTGCCTTCTGTTCCTGTGAGGATTCAGTGAGGTGCGGGAGTCCAGATTGTGCCACCCTGGCATGCATATTATTTGGAGCTAAAGACCATGGAAGCCCAACAAACTCAGGAAGAGCTTTTTACCACCCCTTACCTGTCTAAAGGGATTCAGATAGAAAAGCCTGCTTCAGAAGGGAACCTGCATATTCACCTTAGCACATATGAATTAAGTGTGGCAGACAGGGAGAGCCCAAGCAAAACTCTATTCATTAGACTCCTCCTTGTGTCTCATTGTTTCTAGGTGGCCCTGCAAGAATTTGGTTACCAAATGTTTACTTTTTCTCAACTACCTGTGAATTGCCTACCCCTTCTTAGTGCAGAATGACATAGATGCCTCATGTCTTTAGAATTTTCATGCTCATGTGAATTCCCATACGTTTTAAAATTTGATTTTCTCCTGTTGATCTGCTGTATGTCATTTGAATTATTTGACCAGCCAGAAGAACTAAAGGGATAAGGGGAAAGTGTCCCCTGTTCCTACAGAGGTAATCTGTGGAAGGTGCCTCCCACGGGACTTAGCATACTGTAAGCATATAGTAAATACTGCTACTATTGTCATGCTGTGGCCATCAGTGTCAGAACTGCAGACACATCCTAGAGCAAGAGGACCGAAAAGTCCACTGAATTTAGCTAACGGAGTTAATTTGTGACTTGTGAGAATCAGTTTACTGGTGTTCTGAGAACAGATGCCAGTTTTCTGGGAGGTTAAGGAGTGAAAGGAGGAGAAGAAAGTTGAAGCAGGAAACCACATACTTTTGAAGCGTGGCATGGAAAGAAATGAGAAAGATAGAGCCCTCCCCACAGGGAACAACGGCACCACGTGGAAGAGCTTTCGAGAGAGCAGAACCCTTGGGTATGTTTCAAGTTGAGAAGTAGAACCAGGGCTAATGATGATGGAATGATTAATTAATGGAGGAACAAGGTCCAGATGGAGTTAGAAGTCATGAGTTCAAGAAGACAGGTGAAAGAATTAATCTTGGCAGAAGACGGGAACATCTCAGACAACAAGGAGCCAAAAAAGATGACCAAATAGATATTTTGAGGTAGCAAGAAGAGATCAGGTAGTTCATGCCTAATGGTCTTGATTTCTACATATTTACTGGTGAAACAGCTCGCTGTGTGCCAGATACTGTGCTAGGCTTTTGGGAACACAACAGTGCATAAAACTGTCCTTTCATGGATAGTGTTTTTGTTTTAGCTATTCTCTATAGCATTTATGATCGTATGACAACATACTTATATGTTTGCTTTTTGAAGGTCTCTCCCCACTTGAATATAGCCCATATAGAGTGACAGGGGAATGACTTGTTCCTACTGTAACCCTGGTACTTATTACAATACCAGGCATATAGTATGTGCTAGTGAATATTTACTGAATTAATTAAATGAAATGTTACCTACCATGTGCCATGCATTTAGACTACTTTAACTTATTTAATCCTCATAATAACCCTGAAAGGTAGACATTACTAGTGCCATTTAGAGATGAGGAAACAAACTCAGAAAGGCTATATAAATTCCTTCACGGGCATTTTGACATAGACTGTCTGTATAGAAAAAAAGTTTCATGAATTATTGGGTAGTTTAAGAGTTTTCTGCAGTTTTTACTAAGAGAAAAGGAAATATATGCAATACATTTATTTTTGTATACTTGCTATAATTTAGATAATGACTTTTTTTCAATGAGGTCAAAGTCATGTGTATATAGAGAGCTTCAAAAATACATTCATCCTTTCAAAGAAAGGATTGCCGACTATATTAGTTATAGTTCTGGGGGCCATGAGCACACAGTAAATGCAGAGTTCCTTGTCATATGGAGTCTATATGCTTGCAGATGTAACAGATAAACAGATAAAAAATACATGAAATGATAAGTGCTATGAGTGAAAACAAAGGAACATAAAGGCATAAAAACTGATAGTGGAGGTAGGTTTTAGACAGGGTAAAAAATGAAATATTTAAATAGAAGGATCAAATTCAGAGGGGAGGGAAAAGAAGAGAGATGGTAAGAAGCACAGACAGAAGTTAGGCGATAATACATTCAGGGAATGATAGGCATTCTCAAGGCGTTATGATTCCCAGAGGTAATGGATTAGTTGGATATCATATACCCAGTTATACGTGGCAACTCCGGAAACATTTCCACCAGTAAATATATTTGCACTTACTGCCATACTAACAGTTTCTCTCCCTCTAGGTGGTTTTCCGAGGCGGTGAAGGGGCTTTGCAGGTTTTGCCTCCCCTGGTTGATGTCATTCCTGAAGCCAGGCTAAACTTAGTGATTTACTACCTTCGTCAGGGTAAGAAAGCTTTGTCTTGTTCTTGCTCATAATGATATTTTAGACTATTTAATCTCTCACTGAACTATTGGCTGAACTTTTAAAATCCGTAATACTTCTAAAAATATATTCGCAACAGGTTCATAAGACAGAACAAATTGATTGTTGTGCCTTGATTCTTTAGCGTCTCTTTCCTCCCCTGTTGCTTCTCACCTCCTCCTGTATTCCGTTTTTCTGTTTTCCTCTTGTTTTTCTCTCCTTTGTTCCCTACCCATTCTGTTTCATTTTTTCCATTGTTTTTCCTTCTCCTCCCTTGCAGTGCTTTCTTTTTCTAGTGTTCCCCTATGTATAATGTACAACCATATCTTCTTAAGTCTTTTTTGTTTTATCATTAACTGTTTTTTATTTGCTCTAATTGTCTGCCTTTCTGTTTCTTTGTACCCCTGGTTTCTTGTGAGAAATATTATGATTCAAAGAAAATTATGACATTTATTGCCCCTAGGTAAGGTTAAAATTGTTAGACAAATGCCTAAAGCAGTCTTTCATCTAACAGTGATAAGTACAGGATAGTGATGGCCACGCAGAGGTGGTAGCATTCTGTCATGGACCTTGAACTAACAGTGTGGGCCTTTTTAGGTACATGGTAGAAACGAATCAGACAACATATTCCTCACCAAGAAAAATGTGCTTATTAGAGTAAGAACATGAGCTTGCAAACAGTTTTCTCTATGTAAGCACAAAGAAATATACCTTTGGGCAAGAATTTAAAAAACATCTTCTATATTTTATAAATTAATTTTTATTATAAAAATTTTCAAACATAAACAAAAGTAGCTAGTATGAACACCCAAACTGAACACCCAAATATTCATCCCAGATTCAACAGTTGTCAAGATACTGACAATCTTTTTTCATCTGTCCTCCCTCTCCCTTTTCTGTTGCTGAAATGTTTTAAAGCAAATCCCAGACTTCATGTCATTTTACACCTATATACTTTGTATCTCTTTTTAAAAAAATGGTTGTTTTCCTTAAATAACTATAATGCCCAGTCCATATTCTTGCTTGAACAATTTTTTAGGTGCTTCATGGTTTAACATGGGTTTCCTAAGGATATTTGGTTATCTTTAGGATAACTACTCAACATTGAACTTGATAGAATGTTAGAAGACAGATAAAATAGATCATAGTTCTCGTGAATGTTTGAGTACTGAAGGATCTTACCTTCTTGGGGACTGTTTCAGAAGAGTTTGCTGAAATATAGACTAGTACAGCTACTTATTTCTTATATTTCAGATGATGTACACGAAGCTTATAACTTAATTAAGGATCTGGAACCTACTACTCCTCAGGTAATTGAGAATGTGTTATCTTTTACTAACCAAGTTCTGTTGAAAATGGAACTTTGAAACAGTAGCTGGAAGGCATATTAGAGAAGATTTATTGGGGTGAGATTGGTTAATAAAATTATATAGGTTTCAAGTGTACAATTCTATAATACATCATCTGTATATTTCATTGTATGTTTTCCACCCCAAAGTCAAATCTCCTGTCACCATATATTGGACCCCCTTTACCTGCTTCTTCCTTCCCTCCTACCCGCTTACCCTCTGGTAACCACTAAATATTGTCTATATCTATGAGTTTTTGTTTGTTTGTTTGTTTGTTTGTTTGTCTTATTTGTTTGTTGCTTTCAGTTTTATATCCAACATATGAGTGAAGTCATATGGTTCTCGACTTTTTCTGTCTGACTTATTTCACTTGGCATGATAATCTCAAGATCCATCTATGTTGTTGCAAATGGCAGTATTTCATCTTTTCTTATGGCTGAGTAATATTCCATTGTGTAGATGTACTTCATCTTCTTTATCCAATCATCTATCTAAGTAGACCGATCAACAGTAAGGAAATTAAAACAATCATCCAAAACCTTCCCAAAAGCAAAAGTCCAGGACCAGATGGCTAGATCACTAGTGAATTCTACCAAACATTCAAAGATGATTTAATATCTGTCTTTCTCAAACTCTTCCAATAAATTGAAGAGGCAATACTTCCTAACTCATTTTATGAGGCCAACATTACCCTGATACCAAAACTGGTAAGGATATCACAAAAAAAGAAAACAACGGACCAATATCTCTGATGAATACAGATGCAGATATCTGAAAAAAAATACTATCAAATCAAATATAACATTAAAAAGATTATATATCACAATCAAATGGGGTTCATTCCAGGAGTACAAGGATGGTTCAACATATGCAAATTGATCAATATGATATACTACATAAACAAAATAAAGGATAAAAATCATGTGATCATATCAATAGATGCAGAAAAAGCATTTGACAAGATACAATATCCATTTATGATTAAAACGCTTAATAAAATGGGTATGGAAGGAAAATACCTCAGCATAATAAAGGCCATATACAACAAACCCTCAGCTAATATCATACTTAATGGTGAAAAACTGAAACTTTTCCTATGAGGTCAAGAACAAGACAAGGATGCCCCCTCTTACCACTGTTAGTCAACATAGTATTGGAAGTCCTAACCAGAGCAATCAGGCAAGAGAAAGAAATAAAAGGCATCCAAATTGGGAATGAAGAAATTAAATTGTGACTTTTTGCAGATGATATGATTCTTTATATAGAAAACCCTAAAGACCCCACCACAAAGCTATTAGAAACAATAAACATACAGTAAAGCTGCAGGATACAAAAATCAATGTACAAAAATTCATTGTGTTCCTTTATACTAACAGTGAAATTTCAGAAAAAGAAAAAAAATCCTTTCTGCAATTGCAACAACAACAACAAAAAATACCTTGGGATAAACTTAAGGATGTGAATGTTCTGGTCTTTTTGATATTTTTAAACTCCCTTATATGTGATCATTTCCTCAAAAAGGTGGAGGTTTGGGAATACTGAAATCTAGAATTCTTTTTTTTTTTTTTAAGATTTTTATTGGAGAATTGGGGGATAGGAACAGCGCTGGGGAATTGAGGGAAGGGGAACAGACAAGTTGCTATCCTTTTGTTCTGCAGTCTAGTTATGGAAGACGTTGCTTCACTGGCCCAAGCTGGCACCCTCATTGCGCTCTTCCCGGGCGAGGCAGATCGGTCGCCAGCTTCTGCACGGCCGCTCACAGTGGCTGCTGGCTACACACGGTAGCCCATGGCAACCCACTGCAGCAGGGGCTGCAGCCTATGCCATCGCGGGTGACTCATGA